TAACTAACACCTGTAAAAGTGTTCCGCATTTCAAAAATATTCCTTTACCTATAGCGGTGGAGGCTTGTGGAAATACAGGTCTTAAGGCCCTGCACTCAGAGCGTCTGATGGAGGGGGTCTAGGGCACACCCCGAGAATCTGCCTTGGACTCGGATCTCAGACATCAAGAGCTTTCTGCCCCCAACAGAAGGTGGTTCCAGCAACATGTGCCTTTCCTACCTTTTGTCCCTTCTTTTACCTGCTAGCTCAGTGTGCGTAGACTCCACTCCCCACTCCAAAAGAGCCCTCCCCTCACTTCTTGGAAGGGATTTTCCAACTCCTCCTCAGTAAAGTGTAAATGACTAATAAGGCCGGATGTGTTATCCCATCCCAAGCATCTGCTCTTTACCCAAGAGCAAGGGCTTAAGACAGAGAACATTATTAATAATGGACTTTCAGACGTCATTGAGCTGAGTGAAAACACCCCCAAAAAGGGTGACTAAGGAAGCCCTCTCTCTGTACCACCCCCCCACAAAGCTTACATGTTGTAGGCAGCCCCTAACTTAATCTAAGTCCCAAAAGAGATGGTGTCTTGGTCACCATTTTATTCCCAATATCCCCTGTGGTGCCAGGCATACCTTAAGTACTCAATAAATGCACGGTACATGAGTAAGTGTCAAAGATGCTCTGGCAGGAGGCAAGAGAAGCCTAGCCTTGCCTGTAACAGACCCGAGATAAAAGCCAAGTCCTTCTAAACTCAGCACCAATGACTCATCATAACTAACAAACACTAAGTGTCTACTGTATGCAGACCTCAGGCTGAACCATAGGTCAAAGGTGCCTCCTCAAATTGACCTGTCCACTAGTCAACCCACATTTATTTATTCCTGTGTGTCCATGCAGGTCGCCGCTGAACAACTGCTGTGTGCTAACCTTGACTTTAAAAATTGAGATGCACAGCTTTGGCCGTAGGATCTTGCCTATGGCACTTCTGGTGCCCTAGGCAGTAGCCCCACGGCAGGGAAAGCACCATGGCCAGAAAGCAAGGGAAAGCTCAGGTCTCCTAGGAGAAACTCATGGGCTCTAAGCTGGTGAGTTGGAATGATTCAGCAAAAACCTCCCAAGGATTTAGAGGAACAAAAGACAGAGGAGGAGTGAGTAGGGCTTCTCCTCCCAGACCCCTTCCTCCAGGGCCTGACCACCGCACGCATGAGGGCCTGCTTCCAAGGGCCTTCACGGGCTTTGAGGAAAGGAGGCCATGATGCCCATTTCACAGAGGAAGAAACTGAGGTCCCGGCGACCACCAGCAACTGCACAAATACCACAAAGACAATACGTGGGACCAGAAGTCTCCTGTCCCCAAGCCCTCTCTTCTCTCCCCTGGGCCCCAAAGTTGCACAGTTGGCCCACAGGATTCACCTTCCTCTACCTCTCCCCAGTCTTGTTTCAGTCTGGGGTGACTTCACCATTACCCATCATCCCCATGGCTAATATATGTTGCTTACTTACTCCTCCCAGGCTCAGTACTAAGTAGTTTGCAAGCATTAACTCAAAATTTTCCTAATTCCTTTAGTATCTTCACTTTACAAAGGGAAAAAAATTAAGCCTCAGAGAAGTGAAGTGACCCAACTGGAAGGATCTAAACCCAAGATCTGTTTCCATGCCATGCTATCTTATTATACTTAACCGAGGAAATTAAGGCTCAGAGAGGTTAAGGGTCTTCCCTGAAGTCACACAGCAAGGAAGCGCTGGAGTCAGACTTGAACTCTGGTCTGGCTTCTCCCAGAGGCCCACACTGCAGCCCCTCAGATGGCTGGTTAAGGAGGCAGATAGGGGTGGGGAACAGGAAAGAGAGGGGCCCATTTCTGTGGTGCCTCCTTCATAGTCCCAACACAAAAGGATCTCCATCCTGGGTGGTAGCTGAATGATTCAGGCTTCTTGGCTCCAGCCTACCACGACTGGGTCCCAGATTTCTTTCTCTCCCAGGTTACAGCCTCAGTGTTGAACAGGAATCTAGCGCACTGTTTGCCTCTCATGGTATTCACATCAACTCCTGATTCGTCTGCCTTTACGACCAGCTCCCCACTCAAAGGGGATAAGAAGCAGAAGACAGGACCGAATGTCATGGTGGTTTTTAGAAGAAAGTTACAAACTCTCTGTGACCCACATGGGGCTCAATACATAAAGAATAAATACCACAGCCTACAAATAAATGCCCCGAGCAGCCACACTGACAAGAACTCACAGCCTTGGACAGGTGGCCAGGATGCATATGAGCTGTAGGAAAGGGGGAGAGGGACAGCCAGCTGGGGAAAAGTCTTCCCAGGCCACCTTTTAGACTTGCCGAGCCTCTGGCTGCTGCGTCTCTCCCACCAGTGAGAAAGGAAATGCCCACATTTATCTCCATAGCTATGCTTCCCAATTCCCCAGCGCAGGCTAGAGAGACACCGCAGAATGTCCTCCATCCGTATCCAGCTGGCTTCGGGGAGTGGGGGCTGCCTGAGCCAGGAGGAAAGGGATGACACCTTGTCTTCATGACAACAGATGGGTAGGTTGCTTGGCCGTGATTTACTGGGTGGTCTTAGACAAGTTGCTTTCCCTCCCTGGGCCCCCCGAAGGGGTCAGACTAGATCAGAGGTTCTGAACTTGAGATCCTCTGATGAGCATTAGGGAGGGTCCACGAGTCCCCAGGTGTTGTGTGTTTGTATGAATAAGCATCTTTTCAGAGTGGAGTTTCTCAAAGGGGTCCTTGCTGCCAGCCCTGGGATAAGTCTATACAGAGCCTTCAAATGCTACAATATCTGTATGTCTACGTATCTGAGGCCACAAATAAAGCAGACCCCTTTGCAGCTGAGCACAAAGTTCTAGGAACCTAGCAAAGTTCTCACAAGAGACCCCCAATCCTGACTCACCTCAAACAGGCCTCCTCTGCACTCATGATAAATTTCCAGACACAGTATACTCCTTTCCTAGAAGCACGCCTGCATACACACTCCTATCACACAGTCACAGAATCTCAGCAAGAAGGGGCCCTGGATTCACCTAGACCATGTGCCTCATTGCACATACATGGAAACTGAGGCCCAGAAAGGGGAGGCAGAGCTGGGCCTGGAACCCATGTATCCTGGTCCAAGCCCAAGCCTCTTTCCAGAAGCTTCTGTTTCCCTCTCTCTGGTGCACCACAATGCACCATTTCAAATGTGATGGGGGAGGAGGAAGGGCAGCCTTTTGGATCTCAGCCACCCCCGAGGAAGTAAGACTAAGAGGCAGCAAGGAAATGTGTTCAAAGCACCCACATGTTAACAACCAGTCCCAGCTCCCTCAGCTGGGCTAGCATGCACGCTCTGCACGGCTGAACCAGTTGTTAAAACACTGACATACTCCTGTACCAGATGGTGACGTTGCACTGAGGCCCCTAGGGCTCCCCTGATAGTTTCCTAGTTACCCCCAAACCTCCCCACAATCCAGCAATTAAATGGTTAACACTTAGCACAATAGGGAACTCCTAACACTGCAGGGCCCCAGTGAATGCCAAAGTTCAATATCTTAAATTTCACCCACAGCCAGTTCTTGTGGCTCCTTAACTGAACTAAATTTCTTCATGTCAGTCATTTACACTTGAGGCTTTCCCGGGAGGAAACTAAGGCAACTTCCTCCTCAAGGTCACCCAGTGAGATTTTGAGGACCACGTCTTTAACACTAACCACCAAGCAGCCCACCCCTCCGCTTCACACGCTCTCCCTGAGCAGGCATATGCCCTGGGATTTCGGCGTCCCCACTTGGCTCCAGGACTGGAGAAAATGACTGAGTGGGCCCTGCTTACATTTCAGGCTTGCCAGTCTCTGGGGCTGATGTTTTATTCCTCCCACCTCCAAGAACAAGAACCTACAGAGAAATCCTTGGGGATGCAGAAGACTAAAGTGGCCCCTGAGATAATGAGAAGATGCTAAAAATAAGGACATTAATTTCCAAAAAGGTAGATGTAATCAAAGCAGAAAGCAAAGAGAAATCTCCTTTTGATGGGTCACAGATTAATAGCAAAGGCGTTTTAAAATTAAATGTGAGTTTTTGGATTCGGTGACAAGAAACCTCGACTTCCCACTCACTAACAGGTTGGTTCAGGCTTATCCCATCAGGATCTCAGATAAAGAAACTAGAGCGGGGTTTGGTCTGTCCTGGAGCAGATCTGAAGCCAGAAACTGGGGTCCTTCCTCAGATCGGAATAAACCCTGTTCCCCTCTTTGGTTATTCTCAGACGGGCTCAGGATGGAGTCCCCCAGGCTGGTGCCAGGATGCACCCCCATACAATCACTTACAGGTTACACCACCTGTGAAAATAGAACATCGTCTGCTCAGCAGGCTGCTGGCTGCTCCCCTTTGGGCTGCCTGACCACTCATTCCAAGCAAAATGTGGTCCTTTCATGGCTCCCAGATCTCCCATCTCAGGAAGCTTAGAACAGCCAAGCTTGCAAAAATCGCTACAATTGAATCACTCAGCCGTACCTGGAAGGTGGTACAGTCTGAGCCCTGCCCTACGCAAGCCTCACCTGGTGTGCCTGGTGGCCCTCAGCAAGGGTTAACCTTTCATCCTCAGGCGACCCTCTCCCATCCAGGGTCAAGGTGCCCACCCACAGAGCAGAGCATCCAGGGACCCTCCATGCAGGCTGGCCAACCCATGAAGGGTTAATCCACTCAGAGAACTGCTGGCTACTTTCAACAGCTTCTGCTGCAAGGGAGAGGGTAAATTGGGCAGAAGCCACAATTTTGATCGCATTGCCTAAAACAGGAGCATATTTTACCCCCCTCCCTGGGCACTGAGCCGAAATCTCATTTAGCTTTGGGGTGCCGCTTAGGCGATCAAACACTGCGGAATGTGGGCAAATAAATGTGGTCATTCCTCAACACTCCTCCCCCCAGCCCCCCACCTTCCCTCTATCCCACCAGCTCATGCATAAACCTCATCCCAACTGGGATCCCAATACCCCTAGCCCATTTACACAATTAAGAAGAATAGCACTTACCTCCACACCAGAGGATTGCAGAGGGAATGGGTGAGCCCAATTCTTGCCAACTCTTCCCTTCCCTGCTGGGGTGGGAAGATACTAACTCCCGATGACTTGGTTTGAAAGCTCACTGGAGGTGCCTGAAAGAAAATTGTTCATTTGATTCCCCTACTCTTCCCAAAATAAAATCGAAGCGCCAGCATGCACACACGCGCGCTCACTCGTGCGCGCTCACGCGCGCGCGCGCACACACACACACACACACACACACAGCAACTACCCCTAAATCATGCAGAACCAAGATGAAAAGAAATACCACTGACAGAAGAAGAGAAAACTCAGACCAGTCAGTGGACAAGGCAAAGGCAGTGGCTCCCTCAGACTGCCCTCCACAGGGATGATGGTTTTCGTTTGGAGCCCTCTCCCCCCACCCCCTCTTCCTCTTTCTTTCTCTTTCTCTCTGTCGTCTGTCTGCGTCCGCGTAGGCAACTCCGGGCTGCTGGCAGTAGACGAATCAATTGCTTCTCCAGTGCCCGAATCAGTGGCAGCTGCCACCACTGCTGCAAAACCCCGTGTGAGCAAGGGAGGGGGCAGCAGCTTCCCCGTGCAGGGGGAACCAAGCCGGCCTCCCACCCGTGATTTATGTGCGGGGTGCCTGGAGAAAGAGAGGTGGGGGGCCAGGAGGAGAGGTTGGGCGCACCAGAGATCTCCGCTGGTCGAAACGGCAATCAGGAGATTGGCGATCAGCACCGCGGACAGCGCTAAACTGCGGCGGCGGAGGGATGGGCGGGAAGCGAACCCTCAGGCAGCGAAGTTAAGTTATTGGATGGTTGGAGCAGAGAAGGGGGAGTAGTGGGGGGACGGGACTTCTCGACATCATACAGTGAAGTCAGTGACAGCCTACCTACCACACACTTGTTCTAATATTGTCGCTCACTCTCAGAGCCAGGAGCTGTAAGTTCACAGCCCCTTTCCCACACACGCCCCCAGATTTTCATTCACTGTTGCTCTCTGCTGGGAAAAGTCTGACCCCAGTGTGGGAGCTTCCAAATGGCTTTTACCCCCAAAACTCAGCCCAGCTGACTCGGCCTCACCCATATTGCTTCAGATTTCTGACCTGGGTCTTGAGTGCCTCAGAATTCAGAGCATGAAATGCTTAAGGAACGAAAAATTCTAAGGGGCTTATTTGAATAAGCATCTGACAGATTTCTGGGAACCGGTTCTGGCCCCCATACAACCTTGGAAAAGTCACTTAATGTCTCCGAGTCCCAACTATAAAATGAGGATATGACTATCCAATTTTCCTAAACATAAAAAGCAACAATAAGAACACCAAAGCTGTGGGCTGCTAGGATACCACAACCTCCTACAATTCAAATGTTTTGACAGAAGGAGAAAGTAATTGACAGCCAACCCAGGATGGCATGCACCAAGCCTCACCTTTCAGCATGTGGTGTGAGAGGGATAAAGTTGGGAGATTATAGGAGGTCTAAATCAGACAACTGAGCCTTGGCCAAAGACCCATCCCCAAAAGATCTGAAGTGAAATCACTGTATGAACAAGGAAATAAAACCACTGAAAGGAGAAATATACAAAGAGAAATTGACTCCCATTGACATCCCACAGTGTTCCAGATCTCCAGGGTCCTCTTCTTGCTTACTATGGGAAAAGGAAAGGAAATTTTAAGCTGACCAAGATCTGAAAAGTGAAGGAGAACTCTCTTACTGGGGATGCTTTTCTAAAAAGTGTCCCACTCACATGGCCCAGGGTGAGCTCCTACATTCATCACTTAATTCTCCCTTGAAAGGAGAATTAAAATGTTAGAGTCTTAGCAATCATTTAGAGGTTCACTTTATAGATGTTCATGACCATCGTGATCACGATGATGGTGATGATGGCGATGATTATGGTGGTGACAGTGGTGATGGCTGCTATCATTTATTGGGAACTGACTATGCACCAGCCATTCTCCTACAAACTTTACATGTATCAACTCCTTCAATCTTTGCCATGACCCTTTGACGAGACTATTATTACTTCCATTTTACAGATGAGGAAACTGAGCCTCAAGAAATTAAGTGCCTTGCATAAGGTTACACAGCAAGTGGCAGACATAGAATTCAAACCCAGGGTTGTATGATTCCGAAGCCCATGCTTCAGAATGTCTCACTCTGAGAGTCAAGTTCAAATATGTTCTATAAATTTTTTTTTGGCAGATCTCTTTGAATTGTTTCTGGGAAGACCCTACAACAGAAGTTCAATCCCCTCACTTTACACATGCAGAAAGTGAGGACCAGAGAGGGGCAGTGACTTGCTCATACCCAAAGAGCTAGGAGGTGGCAGAGTTGAGTCTGGAACTTAGGCCTTTCAGGTGCCAGAGCCTATGTTCCAGCTCCTAGGACAGTGCCTGGCACATAGTAGGCCCTCAATAAACATCTAAAGAGTGATTCAAGAAGAGAGAAATTAAAGTCACACAGGATACTGATTGTAGAATCAGGACCCAATATTTCCCAAGTCTTTTGGCTCCTAGTCCCAAGGAACATCTACCCCATCTCACAGCTTCCAGGATTAGACACATGTTCTGGAAGGGTGTCTCTAATTCACATCTCCCTTAGGAAACCAAAATAGCTACCACCTGCTAAATGCCTAGACACCTACTGTGCGCTATGCAAGGCACTTGACACTATCTTTGGTTTACACAAGTGCATGAGGTGCATGCTATTTGTTGTCCCATTTTCAGATGAGAAGACTGAGGCTAGAGCATGCGAAATGAAACCCCAAAGTTCACAGCAGGGATGCAATCCCAGATCTGTCTGATTCCAAGGCCTGTGTCTTTGCCACCCTGTTTGTCTTCTTCCTCAAACTGGGCCCCCTAGAGGCCCCTGGTAGAGTGAAAAGGAGGCCTGAGTTGCCCCACACACACATCCTGGTTTTAACCAGAGCAGCTATGCTTTTAAGTCTTTTGCATACTGGACATCTGCCCAAGCCTTCATTGAAACGACTTTGCAGCAAAATTTAAAAACAATAATATGGTTGAAACCACAGCTCTACACCATCCCCTATGACCACACCATCTAGGAATTAGCCCCACCTTCCCAGGGATTTTGCCCCACCATCTGCACCACCCTCGTCACCATCTCTAAACCCTGGTTCTGTCCTGCGAGCTCCAGGAAAGCTCTTAGTTCAAAGCACTGGCTGCTGCTGTAAGCTCCAACACCAGGGAGATACCCCCAAACCAGACACCTCAAGCCTCAGCCCAGCCAGACTCTGATCCTCTCAAGAATGGAGCAAGGCCGTGGGATTTCTCAGGGCCCCGGATTCAACAAGCTGCCCCATCCTGTCCTTGCTCTGCTGAGGCCAGAGGCAGCCCTCTAAGTCTCTCCATCACCCCCAGGGAGGATGGGCAATGCTGGTGATGGTTATAATTACAACCACAAAAGCCACCCACTATGTTCTGGGCGACTCATGTGCACACTATTATTTCATCCGCACAACCATCCTATGTGTTCAGATGGAAATAGTTTTATTGCCATTTTACAGATGAGAACACTGAGACTTAAATGCCTAAAGCATACTAGCCCGAGGCCATTTCATTCATAAGTGGCGGAACTAGGATTTGAACCGAGGCCTTCTAAGTCTGTAACTATTATGCTATCTGGCATCCCTAATTATAACTGTCGCTCCCATTTATTTTTGGTGTTTATTATTTGCCCAGTGATGTCCTTTATCACTCCAATGATATTCTCGACTTAACTTAGCACAATGAAGCTTTACCCATCTTAAAGATGAGGACATTAGTTAGGCACAGAAAGGTCAGGTGACTTGCCCGAGGAACACAGCTACAAAGAGGGGGAAACTTAGGGGGTGAATCTAAACACTTTCAGACCCCAGGGTGATGTGCTATCTCTCAGGGAGATAGGTACGGAGGTAGCGCAGAAAGAATGCTCTCATTTCACTTGGCAAATGGGGCAGAATAATGGCCCCCAAAGCTGTCCATGTCCTAATCCTCGGAGATGGGTGCTCTGTTGCCTTGTATGGCAAACAGGACATTATAGATACGATGAAGTTAAGGATTCTGAGATTGGAGAGGTTATCCTGGGTTATCTGAGTGGGCACAATGTAATCACAAGAATCTTCCCAAGGGGAGAAGGGAGGAGGAGGGTGAGGGGGGTGGTGAGGTCAGAGTGTAAGACTGAGAGACAGAGAGACGAAGACAGCACAGGGCTGGCCCTGACGATAGAGGAAGGGGCTGCTAGCCAAGGAATGAGGGCAGCCTCTCCAAGCTGGGAAAGCCAAAGAAACAGATCTTCCCCTAGAGCCTCCAAAAGGAGCATTGCCCAGCCAAAACTTTGATTTTAGGACCTCCAGAGCTATAAGATAATAAATCTGTGTTGTATTAAGCCACTGATATTGCTGTTCAGTGTTGTAGTAACCACGGGAAACCAATAAGGCACGTTTGCCAGCGAACCCGTAACGAGAAGCCCAGAGCAAACCCTCCTTAGCAATCTTAACTGAGCTCCCTCTGGGCCAGAGGACCGGGTATTTCCACCATATCACAGTTGTTCTAAACCACAGTATGTGTGTGTACACACACACACACACACACACACACACACGTGCCTCTGCGTGCATGCGCACACAGACAGAGGCCCTACAACAGAAAGGACTCAAGCTCAAAGCTCTAGCCGGACCACCAGGCTCTGGGCACTGCTGAGGCACAGGATGCTTCCTCCATCCCCCCTTCTCTCTGACAGCCTCTGGGGAAATGCTATCAATAGGAACACAAAAGGGAAGAAATGTCACAGGGCAGCTTTCCAGGATCAGTCAAAGATAAAACAAGTAAATGGAGCAGAGAGACAGGAGAGTAAGAAAAAGAATTGCTGGGTCCCTGAGACCAGCCTAAGTTCCCCCACAGATCCCTTCCCGCTGAGAGGCATTTAGGGGGCTCAGTCGGTGAAGTGTCTACCTTTGGTTCTAGTCATGATTTTAGGGTCCTGGGATCAAGGCCTACATGGGGCTCCCTGCTCAACAAGGAGTCTGCTGCTCCCTCTCCCTCTTCCCCACCGCCCCCTTCCTGCTTGAGCACTCTCTCTCAAATAAATAAATAAAATCTTAAAAAAAAAAAAAAAAAAGATCCCTTCCCACTGAGAAAGAGGCAAGTCTTGGGGAAGCCTGTCAGTCCCCTTAGGAGAAAATAGGGTAATTACAGAGAAGACACTGGAACTTGGTAAGACAAGTTTTTAATGACAACTCAACAAGCATTATTTTTTGATCAGCCAGTTCAGTGTTACCAGGCAAGGCACTGTCAGAGCAAATAAGCCTGGGCTCGCTTTCCGGTGCTCTGGGCTTGATTCCTGGCTCTCCCATTCACTAGCTGTATGACCTTGAGCGTGTCATCTGCACGCCCTGTGCCTCAGTTTCCTTGACTCTAAAATGGAACTATGATAACTTCCCCACCTACCTACCTGTGTGGCCAGGATGTTTCATTGAGCTAACATATGTGAACAAGTGTCCCTTTCCCCCTTGCAGAGTCTAGGTAAGTGTCCAGCCCAAAACGACCAGAGCTGCCGGGGAAAGGGCATTCGCAGAGCCAGAGTGATGAAATGGTCAAAAGGCCAGGTTTTAGGGTAAGGCTGCCTAGGTTCTGATCTGGCTCTGCTCCATAA